GTTGAATAAAGAAATCGGAGCTGGCTGAGCACAAGGCAGAAACTGGACACGAGATTCAATGATCTCAAACTCCTCGTTTTGTTGACTATGGCATGTCAGCGGCTAGGCGAAAAATTAGAGAAGCTTTCGAAACAAACAGAATAGGGAATATGTTGAATCTAAGAAACGCCTGCAAGAAGCTCAGTAAGCACTACTTATGCTTATTTAGTAGACTCAAGGATAGAAAGGCAGTTGGGCAGCCTGCAAAAAAAACTAGTTTTTTATTGTCCTGTTTCTAATCACGGTCACTTCTCTGCACTTTTAGCCCACTCGTTCTCTTTCACATTGAAACAAAAATGAAAAATCTCATCAACATAACCAGACTTGTGCCCGAAAAATATTGGCAGAGGAGGGTTGATGGTGGTCGTCAAACTGTGATAGGCGAGAACAGCTGTTACTTTTGCGCATATGCAAACACATACATCCACATCCACATACACTCACATGCTCCGAGGTTGATATATGACCAAATCACTTTATACCTCATCAAAGAGGTCAGATATAGAGTATGTATACATCTTTTTATGGATGAGCTGGTGAGTTTTCTTGACTCGTTAGCTTGAATTTGTTTGTGAGGATGGTATCCTGCTTGGATGATACTCGTCCTACGACGGATGAAAACTTGGCTCGTTTTGACCGAAATAGAAAAGCATTACATCGGAAACATCATCCAAAGAATGCTCCAGTAAAGCCAATCGACTGCAGGTCGAGAGGAATCCGTCGTCGACTTCTTGTGGGATCGACCTTCAAACTCTTTCACTCGAAATGGAAGTCAGCTATAAAATTTTGCTAAATTTATTTTATATTGGTATTCACCAAGTTTTTCATGAGACATTGACAAGTATTACGGGCAAGCCACAACTAATCCCTCAAAAATAAAACAAATTAGCACATTCTCAGCTAAACATTGACATAATTTACTTTATTACAGTTATCTGACTGTCTTAAATGTGCATAGCGTCTTGAGGTGAAGTCAAAATTTATGCACTTCTGACCTCGAAACCATGACATCCAACCAAGTGTGATAAATTAACTCTGTTAACAATGCCAAATTTTGAAACAAAAAATTCCTGTGAAGAATTAGTCGTGAATGGCATATGAATTCGCTATCGTCTGTTAAGCAATCTTACATATTTGTGCGAAACACACTCGCAAATAAAGCAAGTTAGCTCTGTTTCAAGGATAATTTATTCTAAAAAGGTTAATACGGTAAGGCTCCTCCAAATGCTAACAAATGATTAGGCAATTTGTCGATAGTGCCATTTAGATGTTGTGCTGGGTGAAGCAAGATGACATCAACTAAATTGGGTCAACAGGGTAAAAACTAATTAGGAAATTGTTGAGTACCTTAATTGAATGCAAATGTCTAAAGCCTTTAATCGTGTCAGAAGGATTAATGGTGAATGCAATAACAGTGTATACTTTAGTTTGAAACTGGAATAAATTAAAGGTATGCTTTGGGGATTTAGTTGGCAATGCGGCTTTAACCAACTTCTCTGAGTTGTCTATCATTTTGAAGGAAATTTTGCTCAAAATAAACGCCTTACTTAGCAATCGCTTAAAGCAGTCATAATGTGATTTTAGCTAATGTCTACTTGCTCATTTGGTATGGACTATATTGTGATCGCGATCTCATTTTGCTATGTAGAAGCGGTTTGATCTCTTCTGCCGTATTGGCGGCGTAATTTGGAATGTAACAAATCCACTATCTGAGGCCTAGAAATTATCATGGCTACTATAGCAAAGGACTTTTGTAAAGATGCTTTTTCTATGTTTTTCTGGCAACACAACCTGGTCGTGAAAACGAGGTCAAATCGTTCCTAAAATTTACTGAATCAATCTCGTAAAATATTGAATTTTCTGTAAGCACATGCTATCCAATTACAGTCTACCTTTTGAAAAATGATGACTTAGGACAGAGGGGATTTTTTCATCCCAACTGCTATAGTCGTTTATACTGAGATGCTGATATCCTGTGATCTGATGTAAATATTTAATGTCCTAATTCCCTCTGCTTACTAAAATCAGCATTATTTAATTCTAGGTTGAATGTTTTGTCTTCACCTCAAATATCAGCTCTTATATGCAAAATACAGCTTAAGAGAATAAGTAATTTATTCAGATATTTTTACAAAATATTGAAAGAAAATTAGTATAAATAATCAATCTTGCTTCAAATACAGGCTATATATTTATTTTTTTCACTATGTACTTGCATATATATAAACGCATTCATTCATGCTATCTCGCATAACTAGTTATATATGATATAAGGTATTTTAAGCTAGGTGATACTGTATCTAATGCTAGTATCAGTTATTTACTGGTGGTCCAGATGAATGCCCACATGTTTGTGCTCCTTTATAAAACCGGGATTTTAATTATTTAAATTTAGCAACAGTGTTACACGATTTGCAAGAAAGTTTTGTGGTGGTGACAGCGCAAGCATTCATTTGGCTGTATCTATGCGCCTATTAGGGTTTCCATTGTGTACAAGCCGAAACCAGCTTCGTTGGTATCCTCTCACTTGGTCATACTTACATTACACATTTATTGGTGGGCAAGTCATGGTGGCTACTGATATTGTAAGAGAGTAGGAGAAAGGATCATATAGCCTCCATTTTCCTGGCTAATCCTGAAAAATATTCTAAAACGTGCTTTAGCCCTTGCGTCTTCCTCCACGTTGCAAGACATTCGCAGAAACTCGTTTCCATCAGTTGAGTGATGCAAGCTTCTATTGTAAGTCAAATTTTGCAATTAAGTTGTCCAGAAGGTTAGTTACCTGGAATGTTATTGGTGGTATCTTTTGCTCAACTCCCACTTTCAGCACAAATACAAACATTATATGGGAGACAAAGTGGGATTTGAGGACAAACCATTAGTGAAGGACCTTTGAATAATCTAAATTGCAGGTGAGCTCATCCTGGCAACTGACTTTCCCTCTGGAGGACACATCTAAGCCGAAAATAGCATTTATGCATCAGATAATAACCATGCTCTCCAGCCTGTAGAACGAGAGGACATCGACTATTCGACATAAACATGTGACACATGAGCTACGGCCTGTCCGATCGTTCTCTTACCGTCGTTAACAGTCTGGATATACTAAGTCTCCGGGAGAGGCCTAAATTCCTATCTACTTAAGATGCCCTGTACTCCCATCCTATAAAATATAGGCCGAAGATTCGGGTGGATCTTGCACTCAAGACCTGATCTTTGATTGGCCCTTTGGTGCTACTACTCCGGCTTGGAGTTGACAACGCCGGGACGTCTTGCCATCCTGAGTTAAGAGAAATGAAGTTTCAAACTTTCCTGCACCATATTTTGAACTATACAAATATATCATTCATTCGACGAACTTATATTCACAAATAAATTATATATGTAACAACACATGTGTCAATATTTCTTTTCTGAAATTCAAGAGTAGAATTCGTAAATAACCTAAACTGTTTTAATCTAGATAAAAATAACTCTCTAACTTCTATGCGCATAAGAGATATTTTATTAAACTGTATTTTGAAATAAGCGTTTGAAAAACTTTTAAAATAGAAACAAATTCCATAAAAAGCTTTACTAATAAAAAAATAAATATAAGCCTGTTGAATTAGATAATATACTAATCAACTAATAAAATCCTATAAATAACAAAAGTTACTCAAATAATGTTGATACTTTAATAGCCCTCCGAATTCGAAATAAATAATAATAACAACCGAAATTGTCAACTCCTAGTCAATAAAACTGTAATCTAAATTTTTTTATTGAAATAATAATAAGAAAATACAAAAATGAAAAAGGACACTTCACTATCCAAACATTCATAAAGAAATTACTATCTTAAAGAATTCAAACAATATAGAATCGGTAAGAACGTTTATTTCTATAGGGAGAAAATAATGTAAAAAATAACAGGTAAATAGCTTCCACAAAATACATAAAATATAAGGGAACATTAGAAAGAGTACTTGAAAGCAAAATAGCAGAATGAGTCTTTAAGAAATAGACATCAGCTACGAAAGCCCGAAAGAAAAATAGGAATTAAACGCTATACAAAATATAAGTATACAATCATCCAGAATATATTATTAATCCATACAAAGAGTTTAACTAAATGACTCATATGTTAGAAAAATCGAGAAAAATGAAAAGAACTCACTACCACAAAAATTGTCAAAACAATCAAACTTTAGAAAACCTAGCTCATCAATAGATTAATAAGTTACAAAAAATAACTAAACAATAAGTGAAAACAGCAATTCAAATTCAAATTCAAATATTTATAGTTGAGCACATCATATATTTATCTCACGTATTAGAAAACGAAACATCATATGAGAAACATACCTCAACAGAAAACATAAATTCGTAACAAGCCAAATGAAGAGTTAAGACATGTCAAATAAGTAAACAAAGGTTGTAACAATAACTCTTCTAATTGTCATAAAATGAAGCAAAATTACTTTAAAGTAAACTTTAAAACAGCACACATATCGATATTTAAAAAAATACAAGAGCCAACAATGAAAATTAAGCTAGATAAATTACGATAGAAATAGCAATATAGTCCTAATAATATGCAAAATTAATATTCCCAAATAAGTTTTATATATATATATATATGTATATATAGGTTTTAAATTTTTTTGTCAACTAAGTGTCTAAAAATAGTTTCGACAAAAGTAAATTTTATCAAAGACTTTTATAACCAAAATAAGATACAACTCAACCTTTTGCACATAGATTAGGCTTGGCAACCGATAAAAAACCCAAAATTCTTAATATCCTTTAAATAATAGAAAATAAACGAACTTGGCAAAGAAAAATACCAAAAACTATTGAAGCTTCAACTTGATTTAGCAAAAACAAAATGAATGCATGCACCCTAGTGGACTGAGTGAAACTAAGGTGTGGTAGCATCGGCTAAAGACCGATGTAAACATGAGCCTTATAAATCTGGTTTACTCAATCAGGATCGCTCCAATGCCGGACGGCCTGAAGGTCGTGATCCTCACGACCTGAGAGTAGGGATTACCTGAACATATCTGAGCCAAACAAGGCAATGAGGAGGCCGAGGAAGATACGGAAAATGACTCTTTTCTTGAACTCTTTCGATGCCAGGAAGACGATATCGGCCAACTGCCACCGTATTCTGGCCGACGACCTTGGCGGCCTAGGCTTGTCAGCTGTCCAGCAGCCTTGGAGCCTTGTGCTGTATCGTCGAGCCTCGTGTTGGCCTCCTGTCCCCTCCAGAGCGGCCAACCGCCCCGTAGGCCCGAACCGGTGGAGTCGGGCCAGTTGGGCTGCAGAGGAGAGACGTCTACGCCCTTGCCTTCGAGAGGGTCAGGGTTCGAGACCAGCGGGGACTCGTTTGTGTCAGGGGTGCGCAGGTAGACGGAGATGGGCTCACTGACCAAGGGCAGGCTTGACGTGAGACCTGGAAGCGTCCAGAAGCCAGCCTCTCTGCGAGACTCCGGCGGAGAATAGGAGGCGCCCGGAGACGAGGCGGCAAAGTAAGAGGTTCGAGAGGAGGGGGAAGAAGAGGAGTCAGAGAGCTGGGGGTCAGCCAGTCTTTTGGCGCCAGAATCAGAAGGTGAATAGTAATTTGTTTTGGACAATGCAGATTGTTCGCCATCCATGTTTTGGTCCGATTGCTGGGGCGTTGGTGAGGCTAGTCGCATCGACTGCACTTGAATTATGTAGAGCGTATTCGGAACGAGAGAGTGCAGAAGAAGCGACGTACGACCCTGCATGTACGCAACAGATGAAGTACAAGAGAATAATAAAACGAGGCAGAAAGCAGTTACGTGAAAATAGCATAAAGTTGAAGAATTTGCCTACGCAATACAAATGGCATTATTGCCAGTCTGAGTTTCTTTGGGCAAAACAACACAAGCAAGTAAATTAAGTTCATATTTCGTTGTTCGCCATAGCTTCCTAAATCGAAATCCCCATGAGTAGCAAGGAATGAGGGCTAAACTGATATTTATTTTTTCCACCAGTTAAAATTAACCCATAAATATGAAGGATTTAGATAATTGAGAAATGAACGTATTTTAAAAGTAACTACTCGCTATGCATTTAAGTAATTAGATACTTAAAATATTATCGCATGCACAGTTTGCTAAATATAATACTTAGATGAGCTCATCGTGGGCTACTGGAGTAAGTGAAACGGATTTCATGTGCAGATTTAGACCTGCTAATTGTTAATGGGGCCCTAGAGGCATCGCCGTGCCGAGTTCTCCAGACGAGGTATCTGAGCTTGAGTCGGCTCAAAACTGTCAAAAATTGGTTGAACAGCGATCCAATGTAATAGCCCTAATAACATTGATGCATAAGTAGGGCGATAAAGTGAGATTATGGACCTGATCTACTCGGTCTTACATCTCGGATCACCTTCGCTTCAGCCCGGGTGGTGTCCAGTTGAGGCAGGAGGCCATTCCAGATTCGCCAGAGGTTGGCTGGAGGCATTTCGTCTCGTGTGGGACCCCAAACGACCCTGAGCAAAAAAGGGATAAATAAGAGTAACAGGATTAAGCCATATGCATTATGAACCACGTCTACAATCAGGAATCATGAAGAAAGAACTGCATTGTTTTGGGTTTCGGACTTCCCTATACTTTGAGTGCAATAGAGCTGAAGAGTTTATTAGGTCTATTTAGCCGGAACAAGACGACGAAAAATTTTTTGAAAGCTTTTATAGGCATCCTCAGAGTTGAACAGCGTTCTTACAACTGGTCTGAGCTAAAATGTCAGGAAGCTCACCTGCTAATTCATAGATACTAAATATATTGTTTATTGCCATGAATCTTCGTCAGGGTAAAAACATGTACTTATATCTGCATGTTAAAACTGACGGTAAGAGGTCAACTCTTTTTCGATATCTGTCATGGACGGAACAATTCTTATAGCTTCTCCAAAAAAGCGAGTCACGAAAACTCTCCAGCTTATTCCTACACTCTGCAAGTATGATCTGATCTTGGAAATTTTTGTTTTATCTCCATCTTTACGTTTTTAAATAAGTAATCATAATTTCCTCTTAGGAAAACAAGACTATCATGAATTATTGTTAACTATACACTGAAAGTTTTGAATACTACTCATATTTAATAAAGTAGTGTCACTTTATTAAGTAGCAAATGTGGACTTTATTCCTATCATAACTTTCGTTTTGAGCAGACTTGGCTCGACCTGAAAGTCAAATCTGCCACATGAGGTAGAAGCTGCAGTCCATTCCGATGGAGAAAGCGTTTTAGAACGCATGAATGAGTTAAATTGCCAGTGATATTGTAAGACCTTAATCTCATTTCATTTTAGGCAATTCAATTGTCAATCCCTACATAAAATTGTGAAATAAGAAAGAGACAGGCTTCCCTGGAAATTAACTCTGTCCTGTGACCTGTGGGCACTTGTGGAAATGTGGCTTAGATCATAAGCTGCAA